GCATATGGGTGTGGGTGGTTGTGTGTGTCTGTATATATATATGTATGTATATGGGTGTGGGTGGGTGTGTGTGTCTGTATATATATATATATAAATTGGGTGAGTGTGTGTGCGTGTGCGTGTGCGTGTGCGTGTGTATATATGTATATGTACTTTACATGTAGTTCTACTTTACATATACATAAAAATAATAACTATGTATACACGATATATATATATATATATATGAATATATATATATATTTATATATACAAATATATGTGTGTATGTACATGTATATGTATAATAGACTTATACATTAATATATATATGTACATATATAGTTATACATATATATATATATATATATATATTGCCTTTATCTTTTTCACATGACATTCCCATCCATATACATTTGTATCTATATTCGTGTATATATGCAGATAGACAAGTATTTATGATATTTGTTTTAGCATTAACTTGTATGTAATAAAAATATTTGTATACATGATATCCTTTTTATCATTATTATTATTTTTATTATATACACATATATGTGTGTGGTTATATATATATATATATATATGCATGCATGTCTGTCTGTCTGTCTGTCTGTATATGTAAATGTAAATATACGTAAATACATATATGTAATGTATATATATTTATATATATATATGTATATGTATATATATTTATGTATTGCATATATATATATATATCTTGTATAGAATTGTATAGAATTGTACATAAGCACCACTCTGTACGTAAACTTACCGATACATACTTATATCCATTATGGTACCGTCCTCGTATTTCGTAAATGGTTACAGCACTCGTGTTTTAATTAATTTTCATCCACATGAATAGGATTGTGCTGTCGTTTTTGAGCAGTCCAAAAAGAACGCATTTTGCCCTGGACTTCCACATGTATGCCATAGTTTGATCATGTGCTTATTGCGTTAGCTGGTACTTTGGCGACTAATAAGTATCATATTTGTTTGTTCACTACTTGCTGTGTAGGATTCGACAGGAATGGGACTTTACAGTGGGAATAACTATCGGCTTCGCACCTTAAGGCTGACCCTAGGGTGTATCGGTATATATATTATTTCTAAATATGGGATCTTCGGATACATATCCAATAGTATACTATCAGGGGAAAGAACACATTCTCTATATACAAGCGCACGCGGCGCTGACAATGGAACCGATGTAAGGAAAAGGCCGTTGAACACATTGAGCCGAATTGACCATCTATCATTAGATAGTGGTGAACTAGCCCAGCCTGAGAAGCACCTGGACAAGCCAAAGTTGAAGCGAGGGCACGATACTGTGCCAGATCTCACACATGATCGGTTAAGTGTGTTAAGTGGTGATCAACCAACCAACACAAGGGGGAGCGTGACAGGTGATAGTCAACCAATAGACACAAATACGGATGCATCGAATTCACTGGACGAAATCAGTCATACAGCACCGTTTCGAGACGTAAGTGCTGCTCGGCAGGGTGGCAATAAGACTGTAACTTCAGCGCACACATCGAGACCCGCGCGTATCTCGTACGTGTTCTTGACGCATGATTCGCTGCCGTTGTGGGATGTATGGACCGAGTACTTTCGCACCTGTACAGAAGGGAGCTATGACATTGTTGTACACTCCCAACTACCCATGACTGTACTGGGCGGGCCTGAAGTACACTATGTAGCACGAAGCCAGATACTGCATGGTCCGTTGCGATTCAGTGTGAACATGCTACACGCATCCTTCCACTTGTACCGGAGTGCACTAGAACGCGGTTGTGGTGTCGACGATGCATTGGACTGTGAAGAAAGTCAACTACCCGACTTCATTCAGCTGCTTAGCGACAGTTGTGCGCCAATCATGACCTGTCACGACGTGCACGCCTACACCGGGGATTATCGAGGTGCCAGTTTCGTCGAAGCCGAGCGCAACCCGTACAACGGTCTTCTCAAGGGCTCACAGTGGATAGCTCTAACCGGAACCCACGCACTAGAACTGGTGCGGAACGAAGACAGGATAGTGGACAAATGGGACGGATGGGGGGGGGGGGCGCCTGATGAGTATGCCATCCCCGATATCATGCAGGAGCTCAAGCTGCCGATACACCATCGTGTGTTGACCTTCGCGGTGTTTAAGATTGATAGCACGTACAGGTGGTTCATAAGACTGGCCAAGAAGCGGAAAGTCCGGCTAGCGCAAATAGGAGACTACTCACATCCTTCAACATTCCAGTCAACGAAGAGCGTAGCGCTGATGATGTGGGCGCTACAAGGTAACAACACTATGGCTTTTGCGAGGAAAGTGGAACCTGGCCCTGCCAGCGATTATATAATAGAGACTCTGAAAAAAAGGCGGAAGTTGCTCAGAATAGACGGACAGGAAAGGGGGAAGGATGTCAAGGAAAACTAGCGAACAGAATAGTTTGTATGCACACAGGATAGTGTACAAGCATCTTGACACTATAAAGAGCAGGTCATAAAACCACTACATTCGGAACTGAGTCTTCGGCTGCTGTACATTCGTATTCACCGTCTAGACAATCCGACAGTTTACTTGGGCAGTTTGTCGTGCTTTGTTTTTAGTACGAGTGCTGAAAGTCTGTGCAAAAACGACACGATCGATTTGGTTGTACCAAGTTACCGACGTGTCGAAAAATTGATCCATTGAAATTCTATGACTGACGATCGAGGTAGTCTGTTTAACTTCTGCCCTTAGCACTTTATTACTAAAAACGTTCACTTCTACAATTGATACAAAATTAGCCCTTTCAGGTGCATTGATGGAGAATATGGGTACACACTGTAATATTTTGCAACTTCGAATCTCAGCAACATATATTGCAAGTAACTGTGTACACACCAACTTCCCTTTGGATATTGTAAAAACCTTTTTGGCAGGCGATATTCTCTTATACTACAATAACAGGTGTTCAAGTGGACAACTCGAACAACTTGAACATCCGTACACCTTACGCCAAAAGTCTCAGCCTCTCAGGTTGGCTATTATGAGCTATCCAATGAACATTAAATTAGCTATTCATTAAACTTAATAAACTGCAACATATGCGCTCTGGACTCTCTAAAAGTTACAACACTCACTCCACACTGAAATATCAAGGCTGATATATTCTGTGATTTTGGCTTGGTATTGGGGTTATTCGTCATGCAAGGATGAGGATGTTACTCCCAGAAGAGAGAGTCATCTAAATGAACACAGTATATAGCCCCTTGGCGACCGGAAAAGTCTAGACTGAAGCATACAGCCATACTCACGTGTGGCCTAAAAACATAATATAAACGATCACTTACTATTATATGTGTACAAAAATATAAATCATCAGCCATCTGGAGGCTGAGGAGGGTGTCAACGTATTGTCAGGTCAGACCGTGTCACACATTTGATCGAACCTAGTAAATAAAGTAAGCACTTTTTTTGTGATCACGAATTATATATATTATAAAATTATATATATATATATCATCCGTAAGTGGCTGAGAGCTTTTCTTATCCTCACTGCGACGCTGTCTGAAATCTGAAGTGAACGAGACAAGGATACGATGGGCCTGATAATAAGCTTGATAGTGTACATCTACGAGGATCTCGTACGGGTATGGCGCTGCGTGCTGTTTGCCAGCGTGTGATTTTAGCTATAACTGAAGTTATGTTTTTGGAATTCAAGTTTATATGTGCCATGGCTGCATCTTTCTCTTGAAGTATTGCCGTGGTTATCGTTATTGCCGAGCACTTTTCATTGTTAAACCCTCAATTCTGTAGTAAAGTCTATAACACTTCAAAGCCCATCGCGGAGTGAGCTACATTCATAATATAGTTTGTATGCCATTCGTTCAAAATCTAGGTGTTGCAAAGTGTGCTTGTATGTGAGTCTGACCTTGAATGTAAGTAGTTAAATATACACACGTGACCAATACTGTCCTCGCATGATACCCTCGCCCAAGCGTAGGTTTTCTCGCCCCGAGATGTGGTCCTAGACAACATCAAGGATGCCATGACACAAGCGGACTCGTACAAGGATTGGAAGAACGCTGCATCCGATTATGACCGCCGTGTGGGTATGTGTCATTTCCTAGTGAGCTATAGCGTCCACCATTAGTCTGGTACTGAGTGGTTGCCTGCTTTCTATTCCTAAGGTGTGCATGCGGAGGCAGATGGAATATTAATCTCTGCATGTTGTTTTAAAGAAGTATGAAGCGATTGTCTCTGACGCTGTACCGCAGCAACGAGTTCATGTTATAGCGGTATTTGTATTACAAGATATTTGTGACGCGGTCCTGTATATAGGTTTGATGTGAATATACGAGTGTCAATTCGGAGGATAGTTCTCAGACTACAAATCAACACTACTTTGCTGTAACAAATAGCCATACCATACACCTGATACAAATATGTATTAGCTATTAAATACCCTCTGCACGTATACTGAACAGTTGCATGCAATGTCTGACCATCATATCCGTTGCGGATCACTTCAATGCGATAAACTCGGAAATTTCAGCCTCCACGGTTCTAACAGCCAAGTTCTGTTTCAATGCAGGGAACGATAAATGGCGACGAGAAGAAAAAAGTGACGAGTATGATTACCAACTGATAAGGAGAAGACTGGACGCCATACAAGATGCGATGGATAAAGACGATATCGAGGCGCTGGTCTATTTACTGCGATCGGGACTGGTGCGTGGGCTGGGTGGTATGAGTGGGGGCTCACTCCAACTGCACGCCATGGCTGGCACGAAGGACTTGATTGAGGAATACATTGATACAGTATGTGAGTGTGTACCAGGTCTAATTGAATATATGAAGATAATTGCGATCTATATATTTATATATATATGTTGTCTGTGTATGCGTCTGCGTCTATGTCTGTGTAGTCTATGCTAAAAAGCCGCTAGCCTACTGTTTGCGATCGGGTGTTGTGCTTGAGACGAAGTTTATGTAAGGGCATAGCAATTTACATATAGATATGGGTTTGAAGGTGTGGAAGTCTGGCAAGCCTAGGTCACATACTTACAACTTTTTTATCGTTCTTACTACACTACAGATGTGCACAGCTATTAAACACTTGTCGCAGATGCCAGACAATTTCTTCGCACCCATCACAAAGCAAAGATTCTTCACCGATATGCGGCAGGTAAGCGTAAATTGTCTGGGTTACAAATACAAATCATTCAATGGGGCTATAGATATTAATATTTTTTACAGCGCCAATCTGTGGCTGTCCACGGTAGCTCTCGTTGACACTGTACTGGCGCGTATTGCATACTCAGCGCCACCCCGCTGTTTAGAGGTGCAAACAGACGTCAAATGCGATATAATGTCAAAACTATGATTTTGATACTGGCATGCTACGTTTACTAGTATATGTAAGTGTATATTGAACTATGCCACGGCTTGCGGCCGTAACAAATTGCACAGATCAATCTATAGCTTCCTCGCGTGGACGGTGCATTATCCGATGTAGTAGCACCAAAGTTGACGTAGCCATTCAGTGTGCACACAGCTATTCTGAATACGACACTAAAGACTTGTGTGACATATGTGGTTTGGTCTATTGCAGGCGTATGGGCGGTCCGCACTTCTCTTGTCAGGAGGATCGGCTTTGGGGTTGCACCACTTCGGCGTTATCAAATGCATGCACGAGGCACACGTACTACCGAAGATCATTTGCGGAGCCTCCATCGGAGGTGAGTTTCATCCGTTTGCTTGCGCGTTCGATGAATGCACGAAGTTGTAATCTAGTGTATATCATTACACGTTACACCTGTCGCTAGAGACGCTAGAGTGTGGTTTGCAATAAAGTTTAAACCCAAGACAGCACGGTTCGAAGACAAGCGTGCTGCTTAGCACATGACAAATCAAATCTCTATTCGTAAGTATATAGGTTTGAAGTGTTCCGAGCCTTGTCTGCCATACCAAGAGTCGTCTTCAACTGTATCAACCTAGTTTTTTATTTATTAATCTTTATGGATCAACACCCGCTGCCGACCCTATAGTGCGAGCACCGGATCTGTCAGTCACTGTGTGCTGATTCTTAATCCCTCATGCCCATCTGCCTACCCCATACTTCGATGACATATGCTGCCATAATTGCAATGTTCAATGACTGAGTAACGCCAACAGGTTGTAATACTCACCAGTACTAGTATCTGCTGTATTTCTGAAATCTTACCCAAAAACAAACAAAAATCATGCATCCTCTCTACTTCAGCGCTACTGACTGGCCTGCTGGCGGTACATACTACCGAGGAGTTGCCCCGGTTATTCGAACCAGACGCTTTGACATTCGAAGCCTTCGAAAGGCTCGGTCCAGGAAGCGCACGTCGGAAAATCAAGCGGTTCTTGAAGCATGGTAAACTTTGTTTATGATGCACGTTCCGACTTTGTTAGTGATGCAAAAGAATCATTGAACACTAGTCTCACACCGTATTATGTACTGGGATGCCTTTCGTGAGTTGTAAGCTTGATTTCAGACTTGTTAACGATGCAAAAGAATCATTGAACACTGGTCTCACACCGTATTATGTACTGGGATACCTTCGTGAGTTGTAAGCTTGAGTCCAGACCTTGTTGATGATGCAAAAGAACAATTGAACCTCACACCGTATTAAGGACTGGGATATCTTCGCGAATTGCTCGTCACTTTTTTTTTTGCGATGACCATAGAGCCACATGGTCAATTAATTCTGCACACAAAAATGGATCTTGTACAGAAATTGCGTTTGTAACGTTGGTGATATAATTTTCTGATCCGAAACAGGTCACCTCATGGATGTCGATCGTCTCCAGGAGTTCTGCATATCGAATATTGGAAATTACACATTTCTAGAGGTATGTGTGTACCTTCCCCGTGCCAATATGAAAGTCAAATAGCGAAGTTTCAGTCTGTATGATCCTGATATTCTCATTCAATCCGCCTGTCATCTATACCATCATTTTTTACGTTCTACTTGTTGGTGTATGAATATCTAGTCGGATGTAGTGAGTGTATTCAGCGAGCCTCAACGCTGGTGCTAAACTTTGAGTTTTAATTTGGGCAGTCGTGTCTTCTGCAAACAACACTGAACGAATTATGTATATAGGGTACCATATGCTTTTACAAGTATCGCAAGCTGAAGAAAGGGAATCCTCTAAATGAGGAGAGTATACTGAAGGAGTTAAACGTTAAGTACTACGAGTGTATCCCTTACCTGCTGAGTACTGTGTGAATCGGATCAAATGTATCAGTTGCCGCGATTGTCTAATATGGTACTGCTTCCAGTTCATTAAAACTAGTTGCTAGGCTAACCAAAAAGAAAGAGAGTCTGAGAGTAATCTCATGTGTCTACACCAATACCGTTCATTCGTCGTAGCATAACAAAGAAGCAAGGTCAACTGAGGTTAAGATGTTGTGGGCTTATAGAATAGGCTCGAATAAACGACACAGATATAATGTTCTGCAGGCCTCTAACGAGCATAAACTGAATACTGTCATACATTACTAGGCATACCACCGGACATTCCGACCGGTGAATATCGCCGTGGTGGGGAAAGAACGTGATGAAGTACCCTGGCTGCTCAACTATCTGACAGCACCAAATGTTCTGATTTGGAGTGCGGCAGTAGCCTCATGTGCAATGCCAGGCGTGTTTGCTCCTGTGGATATACTGGCTAAGGATCATGAAGGTAAGACCAATTATAAGTTGATCGTTTCACCTCGATTTATCTACTTACTTAGCTCTCAGATTCGGAACATATCTCCAGCACAATTGGGGTTTTGGGTTGGTAATATATCTTGTATATATTCTTTCAACACGCAATACACCTCAGGCAACATCGTGAAGTGGAATCCTTCGAAGCACTACTTCTCCGACCTGTCTCTTGAGAACGACCTTCCGATGACGCGGCTGTCTGAGTTGTTCAATGTGAATCATTTCATAGTATCGCAAGTCAATCCTCACGTCGTCCCTTTCCTCAACTTATTTATGCGCTACGATAAAGGTATGCTACAGTTCGGCCAGATTTTTCGCTTGAAATCGCTCGAAATACTGTTTGTGGTCTGTATACAAATACTGCATCTGATAATCACTTATTTAAACTCTTATTTGCGTTTTTCCCTTCATGTAGACAAATTCCATTGTGTATTTTTCTTTGAGAAGGTGAGAGACATCGTCATGTCTGAACTTCACCATCTCGCGATAAACTTTTCAATCCTAGTACCTCGGTCCTTCAACTTCTTCCAGGTATGTTCGACGCACCATTTAAACTATAGCACTCTTATGTTCCGATGTGTTTCTGAAGTGCATAATTATTCTTTGACAAGATGACTTTATCTGAGCAAGGCGCCGATTTGTGTGTGCGCTTGTATTCGTCCACTAACCATATCCACGCATCACATACAGCATGCTCTATCACAAAAGTATGTAGCGGACATCACTATCACGCCTGAGCTTTCGTACGATACCGATTTGAAGAACCTGCTACGCAACCCTTCCGAGGATTTATGCAGGCACTCGATGTTAAGAGGGGAGCGCTCCACATACAAATGTATGTTCGGATTCAAAATGGTTTGGCAGAATTTAGCTAGATTTAATTGCACGTGCGCATCTATGTATGTATTATATATATATATATACGTCTAGGCCGTTAGGCGTTGAAGGTAATTAGCCTTTGTATCTAGCAATGCAATGGTTCTAAACATTGTTATCTTGTTGTCTCCCCTGCTGGCAGATTTACCCCAAATTGAAATCTGTACCAAAATCGAAACCTGTCTAGAGGATTGTCTACGTGAATTTAGACACGCCAGTGATGCACGCAAGGCGTCTAAAGATGATGAGCCAAGTGAGGATACGACGTCATTGTTAGCTATATCTGCGCCTTATGACGTACCGGAGTTAGACACACAAACAGACCCCTACGCAACCCCGCGTAGGTCAATGTAATGAACATATTCGAGCAATAGCGCCTACGACTGGCTCCCAACGATCGCGTTTCTTTCGAGCCGAGGACTATGTTTTTTATGTCGCACGAAAACTATGAATAAAAAATTGCTCATCTGTGCCAAGATCTTCGCATGTCCTAAATTTTCTGTTTAATCGTGTAGAGATTCGTGACATCCGGTCGTAGACCTATGATGCGACACTCATAGTCGCGGACGTACAGTTTTTTATAAGTCACCAGCATTTGTATACACAAAAGTATGCAACTTCAAGGGCAAGTTTCTCACTTGACATCCTGCAAGAAGACAAAAAGCGGCACATCATCACTATCCTCAGGATTCTCCCCTCAAATTCAAAGGCTCAGCCCGATTTGATTTATCACAACGAAACTTTTTTCTTTTTACAAATTCGAGTTTTTGGTGCACAAACGCACGTGTACTATGAAAGACACTTGAATGCTCTGATGTAAAGACCATGGGAATACATATGATAGCTTATAACACTATCAAGGAAATTTCAGAATCCATCGTGCACACATTTGATTTGAATTTCGTGAAACATTAACATAGATGACTTTCATCAGTGACTGAAAGACGCGTAACACTACTTTAATAGGTGCTAGCTCAAGTTACAAATATTTTCTGAATGATTAGAAAGTATTTACATGAATTTTTTTCAGGTTTATATGCAAGTGTCTGTACTTGCATGCATGCAATCGTTAACGCGTGTTGACAACGATTCTTAACGCATATTGATGTGTTAGGTTTGCTTATTTGTGTCTATTTGTGTATATGTATTGATCAAAAATCATTCGAATATAGTATTCGTGTATATGAAAATGTATCTACAGACATAAAATTACTTTAAAAAAGTGTGTACACGAATATAAACATACACATTTTAAATATGTAAATACACAACTATCGCGGCGAAAGCTCTGTAGTCGAGCTAATTTGACCTACAGTCACAGAAGTCACCCCTATTTTATATATAACCTAGTTTAAATACAGCGGTTTAATTCGAACCCAGTGTTTTAAAAATGAATATATATTGCCATATTTGTAGCCATTATCTACTATTCAATTGGACCACGACCGACATTGGGAAAATTCCATAGAATTCTCAATAGATTTGGGTCAGTTTCGTTAAAAAATTATTTCCGATTTCAGCTAAATGTATGACGAAGTACGAGCCTCAAGTCCTTAGTTGAGAGGGCTGGGGCCTGACTCCTGAGGCCCTGAGCCTCCACCTTGACACTCGAGACTCGAGAGTTCGAGTCTTTCTTGGGCCTTGGTCTTCATGGTCCTAAACAGTAAACTCTTAATCCAGAGACCAGAGACAGAGGGTCATGAAAATTCTTGGGATATCTCCAATTTCGTGACCAGTGAGAGCCACCCAAAAAGGGCCAGATAAACGGGAAAGCCAAAAAGCTTTTTTTTTATTTAAATGTTGCTACAAATGAAGAAAATTTTAAAATTATCATCTGAACTATTCTGAACTAAATATGTATTTATTCTGAAGACTGATTGATTGATGACAGCAATCGAAAAGTGAAAACTCCACAAGTTCTCATCCCGTTAAAATGGGATATATATTCGATTTATATTTTTTGAAACGTTTATACAAGAGTCAAAGACTAGAACATTTACCTATTATGTGAATTTAAAGAACTCACCGGACCCTGAAAATGCATCCATAGCGGCAACCATTGGGCCGGGCCATTGTTATATAACCGTTGAGCGTAAACGTATATTTATTTAACGTAAAATGTCCTGAGTTTGTAGTCTGCAAGACTGCAACTGAACGAGTGACAACTCAACTTGTCAGTTGTCACTTGTCAGTTGTGATTTCACCTGTGGCTCACTGCGCTGACGCCTGCAAGACGGCCTGACGCTGAACTGGTATTTATTTATTTTTAAATAACTCGGGTCAGTGACGCAGTGATCAACTGGTCAGTGGTCTCACTGGTCACGACCGTCAGCCTGTCAGCTGGAGGAGGGATAAAAATAGTAACAACCCAAACGAGGATTTAAAAACAAAACAAAATAAACAAAACAAATTAAAAACATGGGAAAAATTAAAAATAAAAATAAACAACTAAGAAACTATGCTCCGCATATTCCGGATTATAATTCCACAGGGTCGGCCTATATATAGAGCCAATGCTTGCGTAGGTCTGTAGCATATCTTCACGCGATAGTTTTATCAAACAACACATACAGATACGTAAATAAATTATACAACAATGGGTGTAATCAAACCAAACAACGCTGAAAACGTTTCAATCTCCCACGATGGCGATACCTATTATGTAATCACCGAAGTTGGTAAGTTCATCTATACGGTGGTGTGTGGGCGGGCACTGTATCGTTGAATGCCTTGATTTGTGTAAGCTCTAGCTTCTTTCTGTTTTCACTTAAAACTGCCGTCTTCGGTTTCATCTTTATCTCCCACTTATCTCTATTACAATACCGTCATTGACTCTGTTTCATTTCCCAATTATAACAGGTGAGGTGCAGAAGTGGAGAAAGGATAAGTCTATTGCGATGTCCAATGTTGTCCAGAGCTTTGACATCTTCGTCAAACACGGAAACCAGCAGGGCGAACCCTCTCGCCCCACCAAGTCTGAATTAGAGTAAGTCGCACCAGTTATTAAATGTATTGCCTATTTGCATATATATATATAGATAGATAGATAGATATCTTGACAAGCCAAGCTGTCTGCCTTTACTGAGTGATTGTTTTTCCCATTTTAACGGAGTTTATTATATTGCAGTTGCTATAGATTCTATAGCGTGGTGGTCAGTCTCAGGTATTTTATACATGTCTTGTATTCTCGGTGCAGATTCTTGATTAAACATTGATATCTGCTGCATCGTCCTGCGGTGGCTGTTCGTATCGTCAAATGTTGCCCTTGTACTTAAGTGTGAAGCTTAGTTTTTGAGTGTGTGTTGACCTACGTAGTTCAACTAGCATATTTGTCTATAGTAGTTGGTTGAAATGGTGTGGGTTACGGAATACACTGTCTCTACCAGGGTAGCTTAGTTGTTGCATATGTCAGAGTTCCAACTTCCTTCGACGATTGCCACAAACAAGGATAGTTCATCCATTGTTTGACAGTTAATCGTAGTTGTTCTATTTAAAAATTCTTATTGCAAACCCTCCCGCTCTATTTTCTAGATGGTAAATATTAGAACAATATTTCTAAATAGCCATTGTTCTGTTTTTTTTAATCTATCCAGTTCTGCCTTTGGAACGCACCAACAAGACGATTGTATTCAGAAGATTTTAGAAACCGGAGAAATCAAGTCCGGACCTGGCATGACTAATGTCGAAAGCGAGTTCATCAAGAGAAATTAAATTAGGATTGTTACGTGTAATGACCGTGCTCAGTAACGGTTGTCATTAAAAGGGTGTAATCAAACAAATCTAATCGTGCATTTCGAGTGTACTTTTTAAAACATATATATTTACCATGCGCTGAATATTTACTTCTATAAGTGCTTATGACACTGATTGGTTAGGGCAGGTCAAATAAATATGGCAAGTTACATCGCGTTTGCATTGCTCTAGCGCGCTTTACTACATAGGCCTGCTTATATAGGAAAGACATGCGGAGTGTGAGATGATTGGGCTTTCTCGTGACTCGAAGGTAAGCGCGTTCAGGTAATCATATGATGTCAAATAACTCGAAACCTGTTTGTGGCTTCAAACTTATTTGGCCGTTTCTACAATAGTAGGGTTTAACCTTGCCGCCTGGGGACGATTGGTATTGTTTGCAGTATACTCGTAGTCTATATTCAGAACGGCCCGTTTAAATCCATGTACCATTATTTATATTATTTTGCCTGCTATCTAGTTTTCATTGTGTCCAAGCCTTATGCTATGTAAAAAATTGGTTAGTGTCGTACTCCATCGTTCACACTTTGTGCAGTATGGTTCCATAAGAAACCTTCATGAGATATTTTGTATCAAAGATATGCCCGGCTGTGAGTGTAGTCGGCTCTACTCACAAAGCTACACTTACACAAAATTATGTGCTTGCGTATCCAATTATACAAACAATTGTTAAACGATATCAAAATACTCTGATTTGCTATAAGTAGATAACATAGAATAATCATTCAGACAATGGCGAGTATTTTGTCGTGTTATAAATTCGGTGTAGCATATAATATAGTTTCGATACAAGTTAGGGAGACAGTGAGTGATTTGTTACGTTACAAAGTGTTTACTAGTAAGCTCGCTTACACTGCCCAAACCCTGCCGGCTCCGTATGGGTCTGCCTAAATGTCTCGCTATGACCGCCCGGGAGGTCCGGCACAACAACTCCACCTCCTTCGGATCTACCCACTGATCTAGATGGTACTGGTACTGCCGGAAGTCTACCCTGTGGTACGAGTCCGAAACCTGTCACAAAGTGAGTGTTGAACCAAAATATGAGTGTTGATAACGTTGCATCGGTTAACCTAGAACCTCAGTTATCCGGAATGCTGCACGCGGATGCGTTTGTACAATCACTTCGAGTAGGTATATCTGAGGCTCCAATAGAACTTTACCGCAATATACTCGACACAAAACAGATATGGATAAACTTCATTATTTTGCGGGGGGTTTTCATCGACAAAAAACTCGTACCTCGTTGTGACCGATTTGACTTCGTTTCTCGTTGCGCCATGAGACATACGGAACATCCGCATACTGCATCCACACGGAGTGTATGTCACTCGTGGCGTTGTAGCCTATCAGCTCGATTAGAGCCGAGTGTGTACGGTTAAGAAATAGCGATATGTCCAGCTCAGGTGCATTCAAACCAACGAGAAGCTCGGTGGATCTGTTCGAGAGATAATGGAGTACGATGAGAGATTGGCGTGTAACGCCTAAGGACTATGAATGAGAATACAATAACAATCAAGTCAATCATGTCTAAGAAAAGTGTATACACGTACTTCCGTTCGTACATTTAAATGCTGTTTATCATGCGCTCATATGTGCAAATACCATTATTGGAAGAAAAGAAAAGAAATA